GAGAGAGAGAGAGAGAGAGAGAGAGAGAGAGAGAGAGAGAGAGAGAGAGAGAGAGAGAGAGAGAGAGAGAGAGAGCCATCGAAGTCCCTGTTGAGTAGCGCTTTCCTGCTATTGCCTTCACCCGAATACAACGCTTGGTCGTTATCGCTGTACCTAGACTAAAACTTGCTCCAAATACGGCTATGATGACCGGGCGCTCTATTCGGGTGAAGACGGTAGGACCGTGCGACAACTGACCCCCCGCCAGCCCCCAAATGTTTTTATTTTCCAACCATCTACACCCCCATTGGTTTTCCTTTTCTTTTTTTTTTCACATTTGAAGTCACGGGAAGTCAGGGATGTTCACCACCCCCACGCAACCCCCCTTCCACCCAGATCCCAACAAGGGCCGACATCTTTGGCTGCCACATTTTCGGAAAAACCCGTCAACGGTCGTTCACGGATACAGGTCCTTGAACGTGACCGATGCTGGTCAAGGTCATGGTGACGACACTGCCACGACCCTCGCTTTCCTTGCGGCAATTCTCATCGGCACACCCCCTACTCCTCAGTCCTGCCTCAGTAAAAGGACTATCACCCAACCACCCGGTTGGGCCGGCTCCCTAGCTGCTTGTCGTACTGGGGTGAGACTGGTTGTAGGTACCAGGGCTAAGCAGGAACCCCATTAAGCCCATGGTGGAAGCATAAACAGTGTTTTTGTGAAAAGTGAAATTGTTTTCATGTTCACATTTTCTTTCAAGTGTACAATGACACACATAAGAGAGGAGGAAAAGAGAAAAAAACTTCAAAGAAGCGATGAAACAAAGTGAAATGGTGAAAGCTTAGCATTGAAAAGTTTGAGAAATAAATCATTATACAATAACATTTTGAAGTTGTGGAAAACAAATCACACATACCAACCATAGAAACTATTATTAACCATCAACAAAGTGTTGAATGTTATCATAAGCCGCGTATTTGGAATGTTCACTCATGCTCGACCATCGACAAAATGTCGAATGCGATTCTATGCCTCATATGCAGGATGTTGTGTTGTGAGAATTCAAATGGAGGAAAGTAACATTTCGCTAGCAAAGATGCAAAACCTAACATAAAAATACCACAGCTACAACCATCCTTTTGAATAGGTACCCCATCAAGCGATATCTCGAAAGATGTCGTAAAGTCGTCCACGTGATATCTTTCAGGAAGATTTTGACGTCGGAACTATATTCTAAAGAACGCCGCTAATAGTTCAAGCGGTGCGAGGCGAACAGTGCGGCGGAGAGAGTCTACAAGGCGGCGAAGGCGAAATTCACAATTGCAACCGTCTATTCTAACACATGTCAAAGCCTCGTGATTTCCAAAGTTAACAGGGATAAGTATAAAGTTGAAATCAAAAATATTTTTTCCCCTAACCCACATCATGCCCTCACAATAAGCAATTTTTTTGGAAACGGCGGATGTCAATTTGACATAGAAAAAGGAATCTAAAATAGACACCGATGCAATGTCATTGGGACTCTCATCTCTAATCTTTTCTCTAAACATCAAACTATGTCTCGTATTGTCGTTGTCGACGTGGATGGCTAGCAGATACAAATTCACGGCTTCATCATTCAACCATCCTCCATCTTTGATGATGATCATAGATTCATAATGTCCTTCTTTTCCACCTTCCAGTCACCCTTGTAAGCAACGATGTTGTATTCTTCGTTATCTTCACCGGTGCTCACAGTCCTTTCAACACACTGCATCTCGACCTCAGTAAGGCGTACCGTCGCATTTGATTCAGTGAACAATGCCTCTCGCCCTGGGGTGTCGAAGGAGTCGCTGAGATTGAGACCTTGTCGTTTTAGATGATCCCTTTCTAGTGGTGAGGGATGCACCTGCTTGAAACCGGGTTTGGCTTCCCTTAATAAGACAATGAGTTTGCCGTAAACTATAGACAAAGCGGCCGGATGTTGCCCCCCCATTGGTACCATCACCGGAGCCAGAATCAGTGAATGGCCGTTGACAGGGGCCATTCACGGGTTTTTTGGCCACATGGCGGCAGGAGACTTCGGGATCGGGGCGGGAGGGGGGTTGCTCGGGGGCAGTGAACACCCCCCTCACTGAAAAGGTTGGGAAAAAAAACAAAAACAACGGGGGTGTAGATGGTAAAGAAGCGAAAGCTATTGGGACCATAAAATGACCTGGCATCTTGGCAGCACTGCTCGGCCTGCACCTCGTCCTCTTGCTCCCCCTCTGCGCGGTGCTCTGCCAACGTGTGCGTCAGGCTCTCCTGCCCCATCTGCACCTGCTCCTCCTGCCCCTCCTGCCCATGCTGTTCCTCACCCCCCTGGCCCTCCTGCCCATGCTGACCCTCCTGGCCCTTCTGCCCCTCCTCCTCCTGCCCATGTTGTTCCCCGCCCCCCTGCCTAACACCATCCTCATCCCCACCCCGTTGCTCTTCATCCTTCTCCTGATACCCACCCCATTGCTGGTCATCCCCCGCCTGATCACCACCCTGCTGCTCCTCGACGTCCTCCTCATCCTCATCGTGATGACGACGTGGCGCCTCCTGCTGGCGCAGACTCTGGGACCTCAATCCAGATCGCGTGCCCGGGTTATACGGCGTGATCTCCTCTCCTGTTCCTCAATCTGTCTGAGTTTGACCTCTCATCCACCCAGCCCTCACCTGGAATGTCCTCCTCGTCCTCCTCCTCGTCCTCACCCTCCTGCTCACCCTCCGCCACCTCCCCTAACCTCTCCAGGGATGTCGAAGTCCTGGGCACTGCAGGATCACATCGAATGTTGGTGCTGCCTGCACCCGAACCGGGCCGAACGACCGTCATCAGGATCGACATCACCATCATCAACAGTGTCTGTCACACCCGCCTGTTCGCCCTCCAATCCTCGTCTTCCCAGTGCGCTGCCAGCCCCAACCACCCTCTTGCCACAGTGGGGCTATCATCACCCCTGCTCTTGAGCCTGAGGCTCCAGTGCGAGTGCACCAACTTCTCGGTGCGCTGGTGGTGCAATTTGTTCCTAGACTTGGTCAGCACAAGAGCCCAAGTGCTCCTGTTCCTCTCAGCTGCAAAGGAAGTCGTCCAGATGGAGAGCACCTTGACCGCCAGAGCCTTGATCTCTCGATGGCCAGCCCCGTGCGCCTCCACCACAGCACCGCGTTATCCTTCGATGCCCGTTGCACTGCACAATCGGACACAAATACCCCGTTCCCAAACTGGAAGTCATATAAGTGGTCCACGCAGTCCGTGAACCTCTTGCTCCCCCTCTTCCCGATCAGTCACTCCACAACGCTCTCGAACTGTGCCATGAGCTCCACTTTGCTGAAAACAGCAATGTCCATCAACATAGGGTCAAGCAGCCAGACAACAACATGGATGGGGCTGAGCAGCATGTCAGTCCTGTTCGCCACTGCCGACAGGATCTCATCCCGCTCCTCCTCAGTGAAGGGGGGTGCACGAACGAACACTGATAACTGATAGGCCATGTCGTAGATGCGCGACAAGCAGTGGACATCCTTGTCCACCTCTCGCAGCACATTGTAAGGGCCCTTCATCAGGGCGGCCAACTTCTTGACTTCAGTCCAGAAGGTCTTGTCAAGAACATTCTCCTCCACGAAGAAGGCCTTCTCCCTGATATCTTTTCGCCACACCATGTTCTCCCAGGCGAGTCCGTTCACAATTCTGGTGATAGCCTTCGCACAGACCACGAGACGCTGCAGCATCACGTAGTGGGTCCCGAACCTCGTCTGCGCAGGGCGAAGCAGGCAGGTGCACTTAAGTTCCAGAAACTGCAGCAGTTGCGTCCTCAACTGCGATCGTGGCCACCTGTGAAGTCTGAAGAAGTTGACCACCTTGTTTGCCTTGTTGATGATGTTGGCCGCCCATTGCTGCTTGCAGATATCGCGCATGAGGAGGTCCATGCAATGAGCAGTGCAAGCGATCTAGTCTATGTGTCCGAAATCGGATTCAACGGGGGTTTTGAGTTGAACGGTTCACCTCCCATTCAACTCCCGTTTCAACTCCCCATTGAACCGAGTTGAACGTGGTACAACTCGGCCCGCGGATTTTTTTTTTGCAGGCAAAACATAGGTGAAAAAAAAAAGAAAACATATGGGGGTGTAGATGTTTTTGCTCTCTACATCCCCATATTTTTATGTTTATTTTTTTAGCATTAAAATTATTTTTAAAAAATCAAAAACAAAACCAGACTCAAAAAACAGACATATTTGTTTTCCTTTTTTTTTTTATTGAATGATTGATTGATTGATTGGTGGGGGATGGGTCGCCCCCCCAACCCCCACCCAATCACACACACA